TCCCTGTCGGAAGGCGAAATGTGGGAGCCCCTCCCCCAGCCAGTCTTTTGTGGCAGGGATCTGGTTGTGGGTGTTGCTCTGGAGAAACATGCGATCATGCATTTTGTCTCAGACTTGACTTAAGGGCCTTTGGCACATCTGGGGGAGATGGCAGGTAGGCAGGAGGACGTGTAGTCTGGAGCCCCGGGAGAGTCCAGGGCTGGGAGTCGACCTTGCAGGGGGTCCATGAGGCTATGGGCATGCTAGGGATTTCCTAGAGAAAGAAGACCAGGGCCAAGGCTCTGGGAGCATGGCGAAGCCTGTGGGAGGAGGCTGAGCCTGGACGAGGAACCAGCACCGGCCTGCCTAGGACAGGGGGGCAGGAGTGGCGGAGAATGCTGTGCTTGCCATGTGCGCATTCCTTATTCAGACATTCCTGTCATCTCACAACGTCCTCTGCTTACATAAGGCTTATCTCATTGGAAGCGATTAGGCATGAAAAGAACTTGTAGTAGAGGACATCTTAAAAATCTGATTTCATGTTGTATCATTGTTTTTCCGTTATCTGTGACACACTTGTTCCCAAAAAGAGTCACTTCCTTCATCATTGCTTGACAGCTAGACTGTTAGCGTTACTTTCTCCCTTTCCCCCGCTCTTAGCAGTGGGTTGGTTCCCATGGGAGTGGTAGTTGTAATGGATTAACAATGGGGGACACAGTGATTTTACTGGTGTGGCTTGAAAGTGTCCATCAAACATACTGTATTGATTATGCCGTCAGTCACATTTCAGCATCGGAGGGCGAAAATTCTCGCAGCAGTAGCCAGCTAAGTTTCTGCAGCTTACTGCTTTGTGCTTACCTCACTTACTTAACTGGACTGCTTTTGTAGTTTTAAATATGTTGTGTTTTCTCTGAACAAGTTGAGGCAGCAGGTCCGCCAGAACCCACAGTGCTCTCACACTCAGTCAAGGGTGCTGGTCCTTGGTTGCAGGTGCTGTTTGGCACAGCTGACGGGCAGGTGATCGTCATGGACTGCCACGGCAGGATGCTGGCCCACGTCCTCCTGCACGAGTCCGACGGCATCCTCAGCATGTCCTGGAACTACCCCATCTTCCTGGTGGAAGACAGCAGCGAGAGTGACACGGACTCCGACGACTACTCCCCGCCTCAAGGTAGCTTGGCGCCCTTCTCCTCCCTTCCGTGTAACAGAAGGAAACGAAGGAGAATCATTGATCTCGAGGAGGAAGGCTGACAGCCTCAGGTCACAGAGCCCTGACTTCTGGGACGAGCTCTCCAGCCCACCTCCAAGGCAGGGCCAGCCTGATTCTTTTCTTGATTTGACCTCCCCTCCCTGCGGTCCCTCCCTCAGAACCACTGTTCAACTTGATTATACTCTATTGGCCCACGTTCTCCTAGATATCAAGTGAGTCATGTGGCCGTTGGTATGTCCCTGTGGTGGTGTGGGGCTTAGCTGCTTGATAAGACTAAAGGAAGCTTAAGATGAAAAATTCTGTGCTGCTGATGTGACTTCATATGGGCCACATCCAGATCCCCAGCGTGTCAAGGCCTGTAAGTTCAGCTGCATGAGGAGGGGATTAGTTCTGCCATAAGAAGGCCAGCCGCTAGGGCAGACTCCAGGCCCCTGGTGTCCTCTTATTCCAGGCAGGTACTCTCCCTCCTCTCAGTTCAGAAGGACCTGCCACCCCTCTGTAGTCCTCACCGTGGTGTTAGATACTTGTGGGGATCGTCTGCCCTTCAGCCGCCTCCACCCCAGCATGTATTTTATCTAAATCTCAGATATATAAGAAACCATCACCCCCTCACTCCCCCAGAACGTGGAAGGAGCTTGGTAATGGTGCTGGTCGTCACCGGGACCAGGGTTCAGCACCGGCCTCGCGGCTTTGGCCCTGCTCCAGCAGCCCACCCTCGCGCCCGCTTCATTTTTCATAAGGAACGTGGATATGAATATTACGACGATAGGCAGATGGCTCCTGACTGGAGTGGCCGAGCTGCCGCAGGCTCAGTCCTTGGGCAGCACTGCTGAGCTCAGCTCACACAGCCGTGCCCAGCCGTGGGCCCTAGTGGCCTGCAGGAAGGTGCTGGCCGTTTCTTACCTTTCCTGCCACCGTGGGCCACGCTGTCCTCGGAGGGACTGCTCCACGGACAGTCGTGAACACTTTCTTCCCCAGCAACCTCTGCCTCCATTGGTACTGCAGTATTCTCATTTGGTCTTCTCTGCTTGGCCACAGAAACAGTGATGTGTGTGTGTGTGTGTGTGTGTGTGTGTGTGTGCACGCGCATTTCCATGTTTGTTCATTTATTTTAGAAGGTGTTCATATAGAAATAAAAGTTAAGTTTTATAGTAGCATTTCGGGATTAGTAGGTCTTGAGAGGGAGTGACTGTCCTTGGCACCCATAAATCTCTTTGGTAGATAACTATCCTCCCCCTCCTTTTTTAAAATTTCCAGAGGGTATGTATGTTCACCAGAAAGAGAGGAGAAGGGAGAAAGCATTCCCCAGCGGGCCATGGTCACACCGTGGTCCCTTCTCCATTCCTCCACGCTTTGGGATTTGGGCACGTATGCCCATGCGCACAGCGTGTTTTGTAAGCCATCAGGGTCAGGATTTAAGCTGCAGTTGGCCATGTGGAATCCGGCTCTCTTTACTCCTAGACTGCAGAATTGGCCCGGCTACCCCCTTTCTTAATAGGATACCAGCCGCGAGTGAAATGTCTGTCTCATAGTAACTCAGGCAATGTCTTTATAAACATATAGCATCATTTTAAATCATTTTAAACCAGAACTCTTTAGTAGGTCGAATCCAGATTTGCATATCCCACTTTATTATTGAAAGAAACAAGGCCCTTAATCAGATTTAGAAGCAAATCCAGAATAATCTATAAGAACAGCATCCAGGCCCTGGCTGTTCCTTGAGCCGGATGCCCTCAGAAGCAATGGGGCAAGTGTGAGGATGGCAGGTACTCACCTCTCAGATGCAGAGGGTTCCTCCTGGTGGCCTGGGCAATGGGGCACAGAGGTGAACTCCTGCAGTGTCTCGGCACAAGGCAGTGAGAGCAGTCCCGGACTCCTCAGGCAGGTCTGCCCAGAGGCCGCTGGAGCAAGCTCAGCATGGCCGTGAAGCCTGCAGGAACCCCTGGAAGGACCCTGGGCACCAGATATGGAAGAGCG